CATGGTGAAACCCCGTCTCTACTAAAAATACAAAAAATTAGCTGGGCATGGTGGCACGTGCCTGTAATCCCAGCTACTCAGGAGGCTGAGGCAGGAGAATTGCCTGAACCCAGGAGATGGAGGTTGCGGTGAGCCGAGATTGCGCCATTGCACTCCAGCCTGGGTAACAAGAGCGAGACTCCGTCTCAAAAAAAAAAAAGAAGTGGAATTGAAACACACTACAAAGTATAATAGTCAGGAACTCTACCTGGTCCCACCGATGGAAAGATTTCTTAGGCTATGATACATTACTTAAGATAGTAGAGGGCTGGACGCAGTGGCTCACGCCTGTAATTCCAATACTTTGGGAGTCTGAGGCCGGTGGATCATGAGGTCTGGAGATGGAGACCAGCCTGGCCAACATGGTGAAACCCCAACTCTACTAAAAATACAAAAATTAGCTGGGCATGTGGCAGGTGCCTGTAATCCCAGCTACTCGGGAGGCTGAGGCAAGAGAATTGCTTTAACCCAGGAGGCGGAGGCTGCAATGAACCAAGATGGTGCCACTGCACTCTAGCCTGGGCAATAGAGCAAGACTACATCTCCAAAAAAAAAAAAAAAAAAGATAGTAGAGTAGGAAGGAAATTTGCACTCAGGTCATTGAAGAATATACCAATATCACCAGATATCCAAGTGGCAAATCACACCAGGCCTTCATTGTTGGGCTTACATGACATCGTGGCTGACACCATTCAGACTATGCCTGGCCAACTCAAACAGCATCCAGTATCACCACAGAATTCCAATTCTATTGGATCCTAAAAGTGATAGTCTCAAATAATTCTATAAAGGCCTCCTTGCATGGCTCCATAGTGACATAGAACTATGCCAGATTTCAGGTATCAGTGGCACTATTCCACTTCTGTCCCACACTTGCTGAACCCTCAAAATTGACCTTCCTCTTTTCACCTAATGCAATTTAAAGCCTAGCCCCATTGGTCATCCATACCAGGTCTAGTTGCTGTCACAGATCAGTGTTATTTCCTCCTGACCATATACTCCATGTTGAATGACACACCCCAGGCACCAAAAGACGTGTGTCACAATATTGGCAATTGCATATAGTGGGAAAAAGGCACCAACTGCAGTCTAACGGTTACCTTCCCTCAATTACTCCTATCCCTCTACATGCATTTCATGTTTTTT